AAGAAAACTATCAGACTCAAGTTTCGAAGTCGTGTGGTAAGAATAATTGGTGATGTGTATGATTATGAACAGCAATAATGATGAATTATGTTCGAAACAACTTTGTCATCCAGTGAATACTAATACTGTTTCACTCACTGTCGTCTGTCTGGTGATACATTTAATAAACAAACTAATATGGAATTACTTATTACCAACACCATAGTGCCCACGTTTAAGTTATATTTGTTAGGATCCTACTGCTAGATTTTATGAGTTATCGTTAGCGTATGCAGATAATTAAAACGATTAGTCCCTCTGATAAATTTGAATCAGGAGGCATTTAGAAGACATATTTTGCCACGAGATGATATCGTCATTTCGTAGGTGCTTTACAACCGCTTTACACAACTAACATGGTTAACAATCATAAAATAAAGATCATGACAATTACTCAGTTACATGATGAATATAATGAACAATCATCACATTTAAATAGGTCAAGTAATTAGTCACTTCATGCTAGGCGAAGATTGAAGTCTATTGTTTTGACTGTACACACACAGTTCAGGCTGTATGTGATTAATCCCCTAAAGAGTGCTTCCATCACCCATCATTCAATAACCAACCTTGAATTAGAGTTATGTGATGAAATAATAATTGTGAAACAGTCATCAATTAATATTGATTGATTTTGTAACCTCACACATTAATAAGTGTTTTGCAATGGGTGATGATGCTTGATTTCTATTCAGATTAATCGCATTATGATTTTCTGTATGATTTAGTAGCCTTGTTTGGAACATGTTCTTATCGACCACGACATTGGAACATTATATTGGTTCTACTTATATAGGTGTGTGTGTCACCACAACAACTGCGGGTGAACTTGTAGATACAGTTTGAAGTAGAGTTCACAGAATTTCGTCCTTTAATTGTAGATACAGGGTTCGGAAATGTTCGGCATGTGAGAAAAAGAGATGCGATGGCGTAGAATGTGCCTTTGATAGCTAATAAAACTGAATGTGTATATGTCGTGACTCCATCCATCAATGCGTTACTCGTGCATTTGTTTTTTCGGGCCCTTGAAAACAAACATTTCACACTAGGGAACGTTTATTAATTAATGTGAGGTCACAAAATCAATCAATATTAATTGATGACTGTTTCACAATTATTATTTCATCACCTAACTCTAATTCCAGGTTGGTTATTGAATGATGAGTGATGGAAGCACTCTTTAGGGGATTAATCACATACAGCGTAAACTGTGTGTGTGTACAGTCTAAAGAATGGACTTCAATCTTCGCCTACCATGAAGTGACTGACTACTTGACCTATTTAAATATGATGATTGTTCATTAGTATGTACTTTTGTTTTTTTTTATATATACAACTGAGTAATTTATAAATGTCCGAACCAAGTTCACTCTTAACAGTTGAAAAATTTGGGCAATGGGTGGAAAGAAGTGTAAATAAACATCTGACAATCAGTCTCAACTAACAACAAGACCAGTCCTTACTACTCTATTCTTCTCCTTGTAACTCCTTTGTGCTGTGAGAACAACATAAGAATTCAGGTTTTGAATTTTGACATTTCAGTACAGCTGCAGTGTTGCTTTTACAGAGTTGCGTTGACAGTCGTCGTCGTACGCTGAACCTTCCCTCTTTATCCGTATTACTACCGGCCTAAAAGAGCAGCGCGGACAGGTGTATAGAATCCCGGACCGACCAACGTGTATTGTTGGCAAGTGTGCTACACCATTGAACCAGTGACGAAAACGGGACTGGATGATACTGTTGCACAATGTAATTTCACCTACCACATAAACTAAGGAATTATTGTATCCTTTAGTTCCTAGAGGAACATAGGGCTTCAGCCATGCGTCTCCATTGCGTTCGGTTCTCAGCTAGAGTTTTCACATGACTCCAAGTCTGCCCACACGTTTTCATCTCCTCTTCACATGACCTCCTCCAAGTCACCCCACCTTCGCACTGACGACCAACTCGCCGCTTCCCTTTCGGGTTCCACTCGAGCAATGGCTTGTCTAGTGATGTCACTTGATTATTTCCTCAGAGTATGGTGAATCAATCTTCATTTCCTTCTGCATATTTTTTTCACAATCGGTTCCTGGTTGGTTCGCTCCCAGATATCCCTGTTGCTGATCTTTTCTGGCCATCTGGTCTTGAGTATTGAGCGAAGACAACTGTTAATGAAGGTCTGTTGCTTGTTTGAGATGCTTTTTATAAACTAAGGAAAGCAAGTTATAATGCAGTAAAGACAGTTCTACTTCAACATGAAAACAGCTCACACTTTCCACACACTTGACAAAGTAAATTCGTATAAAGATACTGAATGACAAGTTATATACGTCCAAAACCCAAGTTCACTTTTAACATCTTGAAAAAATTTAAGCATTGGGTGGGATATGATATTCATTATAATAAAGGGTTTTCTTGTATTTCCCAATGAATGAATGCAAAAGAACAAAACGATATTGTCGTTGCTCTTACTGACGTTTCGCTATTCAATGCTAATGGCTTTATTAAAGTATTAGTAAACCAGAATTTACAAAATCTCAGCATATATATTTATAACAAAGAGTTAAGACGTGAGAAAATAGACTTAAGTCAATTTAAAAGGGGACATACTGAAAGTCAAAATAACAATGAAGATCACTAAACCAAATAACAAAGGTAATAATAGTACCTCTGCTATGGTATCAAAATAAAGTTTACTAAATTGATCATCGTTCGTCAGTCTGGGGTCATTTTTGGTTGTTTTCAAATTGGTCAATTGGTAAAGATAACAATACCAAGTGTAGGCTGGTGGATTTGATCTCTGATAAGGGATGAGAAAGAAAAAGAAGAAGAAATATCAAACACTGCTGAAACTCTCAAGCAAAACAACTACCCAAGGAACTTCATCAACAAAATCAACACAGACATTAAGTATGGCCGAAAACGCATTCCGAAAATATGCACCTCAACAGTCATCATTCCGTATAGAGCAGAGACGTCAGACAATATCAGAAGAGTACTCAATAAGCTCGACATTAGAATTTTCTTCAAAACATCAGACACACTTCGAAATAACCTTGTCCATATAAAAGACCAAATCCCTTAAGATTCTCTATCTAATTGTGTTTATAAAATAAAATAAAATGCTTGGAATGTGATGCGATAAACATCGGACAAACATATCAAAATCAGAAGAAATGAACATCGTAGAGCATCTGTTCGACCACCGAGAAATCCGGTTGAACTATAAAACCCTAAGAAATCATCAGCCATAGGTTGTCTACACGCTACGCGATACAATCAAGCCACAAAATTGATTTTGACAATATTGAAATAATCATCCAGGAAAACTTCATAAGTCAAAAAGAACGTCTAATATCATCAGAAGCACTTCATATTGTCTAATGGAATCCAAATTGCATGAACTGAATAGGAATGATGGACTAAAAACGAATCTGACCTGGTTACAACACTTCCCTCCCCCATGAAGCGAAAAAATCAACACGAACGTGATAAGCAATATCATTATATAAACACACTCTGCTTTTATAATTTTACACACTGATCAAATCCAATAATCTACACCTGATTTGTTATCTTTACCAGTTGACCAACTTGACAACGAAAAGTGACCCCAGACTGAGGAACGATGATCAGGTTAGTAAACTTTGTTTTGATACTATAGCAGAGGTACTATTACTACCTTTGTTATTTGGTTTAGTGATCTTCATTGTTATTTTGACTTTCAATATGTCCTTTTAGGGAGATGCAGACTTCCGGGTTGGGGCCCACCCTCACGACTCTAAGAATCAATGGCTGGAGACAGACAATAGGTGACATGGCTCAAAATCGTTGTCAATGGCTTACGCAGATGTATTCAGTCTCTTGTGTAATCTTTCATATTCCTTTCTACCATTACTCATTCTGTTTCACTCTAATACATGTCAAAACTCTATTGATTCTCTTCACTCATCTTCTTGTCTACCTTTGTGTGCTATTTGGAACGTGGCAAGTCGAACTGTTGCACTTCGTTGCCAAGTTCTATGTTGAATCCAGATAGACAGACAGACATGTCCTCCTTTTAACTTGACCTAAGTTGTCAAGTTTTATTTTCTCACACACCTTTTAACTCTTTGTTATATATATGCTGAGATTTTTGTAAATTCTGGTTTAATAATGCTGCTTTGATAAAGCTATTAGCAGCAGCATTAAATAGCGAAACGTCAGTAAGAGCAACGATAATATCGTTTTGTTTTTCATTCATTCATTGGGAAATACTTACTTACTTTTCTTCGGCTATCTCCTACGGGAGGATGAGCCGGCTTCATGAACATCTCGAATCATCGCTGCCTAGGCACGACGATCTAATGCAAGGTTTTGCGACAGGGTTTTCCAATTCTTGTTCCACAGACGGAGTCCGTAGACGGTTTGTAGCCCCAGGCACTCCATATCAGCCTTGACTGTACCACGTTTGTAAGAGAGTTCATGAAGTTTCATGGGAATTTAGTACGAGTGATGTCCCCAGAATCCCTCGGCCTTTTGTTTGAGAGTGCAGCTCTAGCCTTTACACAACCAAGTGTGACCTACAAGGCAGTAGGAGTGGAGTAAGGAGTCCACTATCCATTGGCAGCCGGTGACCGGAGTTCGGTTCATACGCCTTTTTGAATGGGGCCAGACATCCAGGACATCCAACAAGCCCTTTGTCCATACGTCTGCCGGTGAGCTCCAGTGAGCTTCATACGCCAGTCGTTGGAGGTTTGGAATCATGGTTTAGCCATCTCCCCTAGACTGTCATCCAATGGACAGTCAACCCAGTGAAGAGCGCCGGGCATCCGCTTCACTGGGAAATACAAAAACGTTTATCATAATAACTGAGTAATTGTCATTAGCTATATTTTATTTTATTATTATTAACCATGTTAGTATGCAGATAAGATTTATTAAACTAACGGCGTAAATATATAAATTAAATTCAACACCTCACTCACTCACTCACTGACTTACTCGTCTGGGCAATCGTCCAGTACATAATTAAAGTGTACAATCACTCCAGGAATATAAATCAATGTTATCATAATCAGTGCCACTTTAAAACGCAAATGCATTTCATATTGTCCTGGTAACCAAGGCATTCGTCTGGGTGTATAATTAGGAAATTCTCTCAACGGATCGCATAGCCTTAACTGCCAGTCAACTTTTGACATAAACCAAATGACTAGAATCAGTTGTATAGCAGTCCAAAATATTTGTGTTTCATGCAAAGCATTTCTTACAGCGCATGGTAATGGAATGATCACTGGCTGTCTGATCGATTGAAACAGAATAGTGCTACGTCTACTCCACTGATCCCATTGTGATTTTCGTATAGCCACTTTCATTAGCTGACGTTCACGTTCTCGCTCTAGTTCCATAGACCATTGGATTAACTGGACAGTATAGGTACTCGGAAAGCCAATATTCAACTGGGCTTTGAGTAAACTAGACATTCGGCGCAATGCTCTTGACTTTCTGCGCTGACTTGATGATTCCAGTGTGCTGATGCTTTCTTGGCGACTATCATCATTATCGTTATCATCATCAAAGGATAGTTCACTGTCTTCACTTTTCTCTTCATCTGGCATAGTGGCTGGCTAATCGTGTAATTTTATTATCACCTCAGTTAATTGTATAACCCCAATAACACTTTTATGTAATTAATTAGTGCTTCATTGATTATTGATATCACGTGTTCTGTAAGCAATTTGAACTGCCGATACATTTCTAATTAGATGTTTAGAATAACAACAGACAACAATCAGCATAAATGGGAGGAACCTGAAACAAACAACATCTTTTACCTACCTGGGAAGCATCGTTTCAACTACAGGCGGAACTGACGTAACACAAAATGTCAAAACAAGCATTTCATAACTATTATCAACCGCTTATCTTCAAGTGACACCTTATCAAAAAGTTGACTTATCTCACAGATTATTAATAGTATAAAAAGACTTACTTGTCCAAAGCATTCTTAAAAGGGTCTTAATTATTATACGTGAACCGAATGACACTAATTAAATGCTTGTTAAAAGGAAGTGAGAAAAACTGAACAGTTGCTTGATTCTATCGCGGGTTTGTAGGTAAACTGGGTCAAGAAATGACAGGTAAATTTGAATTTAAGAGTTGAAAACCCGTGTCAAAGTTGGAACACTTCAAGTTGGTTTTGTTTTACCTACAGCGGAGTTGAACTTCTTGTTTTCTGAAAATTTAATTTATTCGTTTAACATAAATTTTCTAACACCTAATCCAACAAAGGAAGTGTGTACTTCACAGCTGGGTGTGTGCTGTCTTCCTTTATGCCTGTGAGACATATAGAAATCGGGATATATGTAAAAGGCTAGATGTCTTCGACCACAGATGTTTGAGTTCTGTCTCTCATGTCATGGGGTATTTTATGGAAAGCAGTATTGAAGTTAATATTAGAGTGTCAGGCAAAGAGGGTAAGTCGATCAACGCGGTAGATGACTGACATGGCTAGGATACGTATTGCATAAACCATGATATCGCCTTCCTCGACGGAAGTGCTAGATGGCATTGGATTAAGTTAAAGATGAGTTAGTTAGGGGTAGTCAAACCAAAACTTGTCATCATTCCATGAAGTTTTCTGACAATCAGTCTAAACCACATAGGAAGGTGTAGGCTGCCTGCTTAGGGTCGTTGGACTGGTAAGAACCAGTGGCTGGGGACTTTTGGAGATATATGTACGGATGACCTCGCACAAAAGGAATTTGAATATATTCACGATTCCTTGATGGAGATGGGCTATTCGAGTAGTTTCATAAAGAAACATATGAAAACATCAGAGAAAAAACCGGAGACTCTTACTGCACGTAAGAAACCTCTATTCATTAGGTTACACTTTAATGGTGACTTATCAAGTGAGATTCTATTCCAAAGACTTTCAAGGAGTATATGAAGAACATTTTATGCAGCACACCTATGACTGGGACGCAAACGAAGGATAAGCTTGATAGTTTTGCCACATCTATGTGCATTTCTCAATTCAACTGCACCTGTGGTGACAGTTATATTGGGCATACTACTAGACAGCTAAGACAACGTGTTAGTGAACATCTCCCATCGTGGTTTGGCAAAGGACAGACAAAAACAATTCTGAGCTCACTTTTGTCACACTTAATTGATAGTGGTCATGTAGTGGAGAAAACGAGAGCCTTCAAAGTAATTCATCGTATCCCACCGAATCTTTCCAATAAACTTCGTATTCGTTTACTGCACACAGCCGAGGCGATAGGCATTCGAACTATTATACCTAAACTATGTATTCAAAAAAGTTCGTACATCCATTATTCGTTCCCTGGCCTATTAAGACATAACCAACTGTGACTTCTACAACACCTTTTGTTTATATTTTCAACCCCTTTCTTATCATCTCTTAATCTTATCTTCATTATAAAAGTGTTTCATTTCCTCCCTTAAAATCTAGCATTACTTAATCGGTTCATTTGTTTTTACTAGCCTTTATCGACTACTTCCACCTGAACAGTTGTTTGTTTAATCATGCTGTTTTTCATTATTCGTGTTATCACAGCTTGCCTCACTTTTTCATCCTTATTATTGATAAGACCATTTCTATTATTACTGTTATTATTACTATTATTATGACTAATTGCACAATTTATATTCACCATCGTATTATCCTATAGACAAAAAACATGATTGGTTTATATTTGAATTTTTATTTGTAAACTTATATTAGAGTTAAGCCTGATGAGATCTAATTGAAAACAATATTGTTCGCTTAAATGTATTGTTCTAAATTTTACTATGGGAATATTTAATATTTTGCAGATATGACACAAAATCATTCTCAAGGGTGCAGATGCATTTACTCTTTGCGACCTCATATTTCCAGTAAACCGTCATGTTTTCCACGTTACTAATATTCCTTACTCCGTCACATTACCGCTCCTTTCGTTGAATCTCTCCTTTCGGTCTCTTATCAACCTTTGTGTGCAACACTGAGTGTAGTAATCTGAACTGCTGTACTTCTGTGCAAAGTCTCATGTTGAAATCCAGGAAGTCAGTGAGTCCCTACAGATCTAAATGATTCCAAAGTGGTATGGTTTATCGCCTGCTGTTCCTGTAGGACTGTGTATGCGAAAATGGTCTTTTGTTTAAATATTCCACTCAAAAGAAAACCTTGTGAATGAATAAACAAAATATTGAAAGTTGTTATTAAAATGTAAGCAGCAAAATTGATTTCTTTAACAAACAGTTATTCCATGAATGCGTTAAGCATAGAATAGCGCTTCCAGGCACCTGACTTCTTATTTATCAATCGATTCGTTCCCTTAGAGGGAAGTAAATTGGCCGTACATGCCGTTATGTTGGCATATTTTTGAATGCTGTCAAGCTTAGCTAGTTAAAAGAGAAGAGGACAATCTCGGTAGGTCTATTTTCAAGCGTTTTGTCAACCCCAGTCATCCAGCACCTCTGCATGAATGCTTCGCAGTGGTAAACATAGTCCATAAATATCACACATGAAGATTACGAATATCCTATTTATACATGACCAAATCACTGGCTATTTTGAACCTCAAACCAGACCTCTGTGTACCAAAGCAATACACACACTCACTTGAACTACTATGATCAAGGTAGTAATCTAACTTTAATTTATTTAATGTCTGCTTTTATTATTATTTCTGTCGTTATCGTGTGAAGTGGTATAATAGGGTGAGCAATATTGAGGTTAGGCCTCAGTCGAGTGCTAGGTAAGGAGGGGAAATCAATAGAAAAGGCTGTGAAGCAACATCAACTAAGGTGGTTAGGATATGTGTTACGCATGCGTAGCCATCGCCTTCCTCGACGGGCAACGTCGGTTGATATGGGATCAAATTGGAAAAGAGCCAGTGGTGGTCAAAGCAAAACATGGTCTCATCAGTCAATGAAATCCACAAAAGTTAGTTTAAGTCACGTAGGAAGGTGTGGACTGGATTCCTGGTTGTGGTCCTCGGGACGGTAAACACCAATGGCTGGAGACATGGCTCAAAATCTTTCTCAGTGGGGCAGATGCATTCACTCCTTGTGACTTATAATACCCAATAGAATTATATTGTTCTTCGATACTAATATTCTTCTTGCCTCATATCTCTGTTTACTATCTCTACTTTGTATTTCTTTTTGCTTTCTTCTCTTGCTTAATGTGCTACATGGAGTGTGGCAACTCGAACTGCCACACATCAGTGCAAAGTTCTATGTTGAAACCATTCAATCAGTCAGTCGTTATCCCTACTAAACAGTTTACAATTATTATTCAGATTTCAAATAAACGCTTGACTGTCTTTTCTACTGTTTTCCCCATTCAGATTGATCAGGTTATTTCATACACTTGTGATGTAATGTCAAATTACATTAGCGTATTGTCTTCCAGATTATCGCCTTCCCTTTGAAAGCGTTTTTAGAACCAGCTGACATCCGTTAAAGAACCTCTGGAAGACCGAGGAGTACTGAACAGCCATTTCTTCTTAGTCTGGGACTCTTCATTAGTATGTGTCTACCAGGATTCAAACCAGTGACCTTCCATTTAAGAAAGTGATGAAGACAGTTCACAGATTATTGTTATTACTATTATTTCCTTTAATACCTAGAGGAACATAGGGCTTCAGCCATGCGTCTCCATTCCGTTCGGTTCTCTGCTGAACTCTTCACCTGGCTCCAAGTCTGCCCACACGTTTTCATCTCCTCTTCACATCACCTCCTCCAAGTCACCATCGCACTCACGACCAACTCGCCGCTTCTTTTTGGGGTTCCACTCGACGGCTTGTCTAGTGATGTCACTTGATGGTTTCATCAGAGTGTGCCCAGCCAATCCATCTCCATTTCTACCTGCTTATTTGTGGAACAATTGGTTCTTGGTTGGTTCGCTCCCAGAGATCTTTGTTGCTGATCTCTTCTGACCTTCCATCTGATCTTGAGCGAAGACATATGTTGATGAAGGTGTGTAGTTTGTTTGAGGTGCTCTTTATGACGTGCCAAGTCTCTGATCCGTATAGTAGCACTGACTTCACATTGGAGTTGAAAATCCGGATCTTATTTTTGATGCTGAGTGTTGTTGACCTCCACACAGACTTGAGAGTAGTGAAAGCTTGTTTTGCTTTTCCTATCCTTGCTTTGATATCCTCGTCAGTTCCGTCCGCCTGTAGTTGAAACGATGCTTCCAAGGTAGGTAAAAGGGGTTGTTTCTTTCAGGTTCCTCGTATTTGTGCTGATTGTTGTCAGTTGTTGTTGTTGCTGTTGGTGTTGTTGCCCAGGAATCTTCATCACCTCTGTTTTCTCTATGTTCACAGATATTCTCTACTAAAGGCAAATGTAATTGATCACATTGGTTTAAGTTTTAGACTGCATACACTTAACTTGTGTCATGCTGGTGAGGACGAATTGTTTCTCCTTGTCCTTTATTTCTCTTCTTCTTTTTCCAATGGCACCAAACAATATAGAGAATTATTCCGTATTCAATCATCTATTTTACATGGGACAAATAGTTACGAAGCCATTATCATGTCTTATAACGTTCAGCTTTGAAGCTAACTGATGTCTTCTATCGATTTGAAAATATTCT